TTTCTCTGTGTCTTCTCCAAGGTTGTAAAATGCCCTCCTTTGGAGCTGGGGTTAGTTCCATTCGTCCTATGCTTTAGGAGACAGGTGGTGATCCCCCCCTATTTTTAGACAGGCTTTTGATAACTGACTGACTGACTGACTGACTGACTGAGTGACTGACTGACTGACTGAACGAACAAACAAACGAACGAACGAACGAACGAACGAACAAACAAACAAACAAACAAACAAACAAACAAATAAATAGGCCAAGAAAGGGGTTTTGATTCTGGGATACTTCACATGATCATTATTATAGTTTTTATGTGTGTTTTAAGCTATTTTATACTCTGGTTGAGTATATGACTGAGGAGCAAGATGATGGAAGATCAATTCCCCACTGTGTGTCCCAGGAGAAAAGCCAGCCTATGCAGCCTTTGACAAGCTGCACAGTTTCAGGGCACCCACAGAATAATGGAATGGTAAACCAGTTCTGAGTACTCTGTACCTGTAAGATCCTGGAAGGGACTGCCATGTCAGAATGGACTTGGTGGCACTTACTTATTCTTAAAAGTGTTTTAAACAATTTAAAACTTACTTACTGTTTTAATATTACTGTTGTTTTAGGGTAGCTAAAACAATTTTTTAATACTTTGTGAGCTATATTAGGTCCCTTCATTGGGTAAAGGTAACATAAAAATAAAGTTAATGAATAAATAAGGTAGTAAAAATCAATAGACAATTTAATTTATTTTATCTCAAGTCCAGTGTGTGAAGATGGCTTCTTTCAGGTACTACTACTACTACTACTACTAATACTACTACTATTTATTTATTTCTTTATTTATTTATTTATTTATTCATTCATTCATTCATTCATTCATTCATTCATTCATTCCATTTTACCCCACCTATCTGGTCATATTGACCACTCTAGGATTCAGACAGAAGGCTCTGAGTATTAAATTAGAGACCATTTTTACATTTTTCACTGCAGAAGACAGAGAATAAAGTGCTGGTGAATTTGAAGTAAGAAAAAAGAAGTAGAGGAGTAAAAATCTTCAGCTGCTGCCATGACAATAATAGACCAGTGAGATTCTATAAGCAGCTGGTCTCATTGCAACTGCTATTCAAGATTCTTTCCTTTTACTTCAGCATATTGTTAACATAGCCTGTCTTGCAGGCTGGAAAGCTTTGAAGGTTAAATTCTCCAGAGCAATGCAGAATCTTCAAAAGTTTGACTGCAGAAGTACAGAGAGATAAATATGTCTCAATAATAGAACAGTTTGTTATTTCAGCTATTACAAAGTAAAAAGATGAGAATTTGTTAACAGGTGGATTTCCCTTTCTATCCTTTTCATCTACGATGAGTGCTCATTTTTCTATTTTGTCCTTTCCTGTCCACCTTTTCTCCCCCTGAATTGGAAATCCCATACCAAAGGTTTCTTAGTATCTCGTCTTATTGCCTCGAGCTGTACTGACTAGCTGTTTGTACTGGAGTCAAGTGGGCTGTTTGTACTGAAGCCCCCTTCTTCAAGCACCAGTGATGTATCTTGGTCTCTATGGTTGCTATCTTTTTTTACTGCCATGGCCTTTAAACTCTAGCAAGTGTGACAGTTAGTGTGAGAGTGTGAAACTTTCTAACCCTGCTTCTTTGTGGGAGGGAAAGTTTCCTTGAATTTCTCTCATGCAGTTGACAATAGCAGCTCTCTTCTCCTTACTGTAGGCATTAATCTTCCCTATTCAGGGGGACAAAATAAAACAAAAACAAAACCCCAACACTGCCTCTTTAGTAGTACCTACTAAAGGTTTTCACATAGAAATCTAATTTTGAATTTTAAGTAAGGCTGGCTGCATTCCTGGACAGGCTTCTTTAGAAATTTCAAGCTAACCTATGCAGATTACTATTAGGAGACATGTTTAGGAGCAAACCACAAATAAGAAATATAGAAATATTTCTGCATGGGACAATTTACTGTGCAAGACAAATATTGCCCCTTCAGAATTTATTTTGCTCCTTTTCTGCCTTTCCTCATGCCTTGTAACTATCAGTTCCACTGCTTAGTTCACATGTGTAGCACAACGCATTTTGACATCAACTTAGGATAATATTACTATTTCTTTGTCTCCAAATGAAATGAGAATCTTAGCTTCACTGGAATGTAAGCAACTAAGGTTGAAGCTTTTGGAATAAAATGTTTACAAAAATCTACTATCACGTTTTGGTAACCTGAGAAAGATATAGGAAGAACATTCTCCATATTTAACATTACTAGTCAAACACCTTCAAATATGCTTTTGCCTGGAAGTGTGATCAGAATCATCAGCTCCTCATGAACAAGCCACAGATTTATTTCTAGAATTCTGGAAAGACGAAAAGTTGAAGCATATTTATTTCATGTTGGGTTTTTATCATTTGGCTTTGGCTTTATCTTTATTTTTCCATAAAATGCTTGAAGGTATTATTACATGTGAAGAAATACTGACTTTACAAAATTCTTTGAGATCTCTAGATTCAACTCTCCTTGTAAATGTAACATCTTATTATTGCTTAGAGATAAACGTATGTGGGTTTGTGGGTTTTTTTTTTTTTGGTATTCCCATAATAATTCCCATTTAAAACTTTATACTTCAATTAACTGGCAGGAAATAACATTTTAAAAAGAAGTAAACTTCTTTCTAAATCTGGAGCTTTAGTCTTTTGCTATGCTAATTATTAATGTGATTAAGACGAAATGTCTACAGTCTTTTTAGATGTTAAATGTAATCAAAAAACAACTGAGTAGATAGACCACAACTGAAGCAAAAAAAAAAAAAAGCTGTTTATACCTCTGGTAGGCCCTTCCTATTCAGAATCTTTGCAAGCAGGCTGACCTTATGGAGGCACGCCAGTAGTGGTGGCTGTGCTGTAATCTCCATCTGGCGAATAGTAAAAACTTGTCATTTTAGTTTTTTACAAGTTTTTTACAACCTTGGGCTCTTGGACTGCAACCCCCAGAAATCCTGGCCAGCATAGCTAGTGGTGGAAGCTTCTTTTAGTCCAAGAACATCTGGGGACCTATGGTTGGGAATCATTGTCCTAGAGCAACATTAATACTGAACTCAGCTTTCAAAATGGCTGATGTCGTCTAGCCTAAGCACTTGGCAGGTGGCACCAAGGGATATGCCAGCAAAGAGCATGGAGTCCAGTGGATACTGGCAGCTGCCTGAGAATGCCTGGAGCTGATACAAGTGCTCCTCCCAACAACACTGAGAGGGAGAGTGGTTAGCTTCATGACTGCTAGAAGATTTTAAATTGTGAATTTCTTTGCATTCTATAGCGCTCTGGTCACTAAATTACACTGGCTAAGACACCATAGTTGCTTTCATGTAATGGGGTTGAGAGGCAGTCTACCATAGCATGGACTTATGATCAGTTGAAGATGATGGCCACAACTACTGTCCAAAGATTTCTCACACCATGAAGATAGCTGAATTGTCTCACATTTATCTGTGTTGATCCACTTCCATGCCATGTAGCAGCACATCACGCAGCTGTCTCAAATGTGTAAGTGTGGTATATTGTCATAAGTAATTAGCGTGGGCATGTAACTTGAAACTATAGCAGGAAAAAAGTGTCTCATCTGTTCCCAAATAATACCACTGTAGTTATGCACATCTAAAAGACTGGTGGATTAATAATGCACAGTACAAGGAGACATATCTGTTATTCATGCAAACTTTTTCTGCCATTCCCTTATCATATGTTCTTCTCTTCTCTGGTGTACAAAGACTAGAGATGGGGATGAAGTGCCATTTTGGCACTTCGTCTTGATTTGTGGGTCATCATGTTTGACGACCCATGAACAACGAATTACCCCCCAGTGACCTGACAAACAACAAATCAATTTGTCATTCGTCGGGTCATTTTTCCCCCTTTCCCTCTTGCTATGCCCCAGGGTATAGCAAGAGGAGGGAAAGTAGGGATCAAAGCAATTGCACAGCTGCAGCTGTGGAATTGCTTTGATCCATTTCCCCTCCTCTTGCTAAGCCCCACAGGGCTTAGTAAGAAGAGTGAAAGCAGGGATCCAAGCGATCCTGCAGCACTTTGATCCCTTTCCCCCTCCTCTTGCTAAGCCATAGCAAGAGGAGGGAAAATGGGGATCAAGCGATCCCACAGAGGCTGGGGGATCCCTATGATCCCTCTTTGATCCCTGCCCTCCTCTTTCTTAGTCCAAACAGGCATAGGAAGAGGAGGAAAGAGGAACCAACCCATCCCCCAGCCCCGAGGGGTGGGATTCCCTTCAGACAGGCTTTAGCAAACCGTCTGAAGGAAAAACCCCTCTATACTTATGCCTCTGAGGAACAGCTGATCCACTAGGACATAAGCAGATGGGGAATGATGGGACAAATATAAAAGGGTTATATTTGTTGCTTCATATTCGTTGGGGTCTCTGGACCCCAAGAATACGAAACAACGAATATCTGATGAATCAAGGATATTTAACGAATATCCTGATTCATTTTTATATTTGTACCCATGTCTGCAAAGACTCAACAACTGACCTTAAGTGGAATGAGGTTATTGTCAAGCCACTCCAAGAGTTCCTAATTCAATTTGTTTAAAAGCAAGAAATGTAAATAATTATAAATCAGTGACTGAACCTAGGTTGTACTTCCCAAAGGAAAAAAAATCTTCATATAAAATATTTTTAAATGACTGAGCAGAAGCCATATGGCAAGGCATTTGCATTTCAATTTATCTTTTTGTTCATAATAACACCATTTCAAATGCATTTGGCTAAATGTGGGAAGAGAACTTGTAGAAGAAATCAATTATATTCTTACATTTAAATCTTCTTTTCCCCCTGGCTATGTTCTAATGTATCACTGTACCTAAAAATGCACCCTGGGGAAAATACTTCTGTACAACTAAAAATCCATGAATAACATTATGTAAAAATTAATTTATGATAAATGATTTTAAATCTCTCTTATTCAAAGGTTTTGTATTCAAATGTCCTTAGAAAATGACACCTCACCCGTAGGAAAGAGTCAAGGGATCCATTCTCCATGTATTCAACCACAATCATTACTGGTCTGCCTACAAAGAAAGCAAAGGAATGTGTTAGGATTATAGATATATTAAAGGCATGTTGTATTTCCAGCTGTTAGGAAGAGATTATTTGCATTAGTAAAATATGTTGCTCATTTTGCAATCCCTCTTTGTAGCAGAAAGTACCTCATTGTTCTATTATTACTAAGCTGCAGTTTCTTTGGTCATGCCAATGGGTTATCTTGAGGTATTTTAATTTTTTTTAAAAAATTAAATGGCTGCAATCAGAATCTAATATTAACAGCTCTTCCTCTGCATTCAGAATGGTGCTGGAGAGATATTGCACATATATCCAGGGATGTAGGCTGTGTGGGTCTCCCTAGTAAAACTTTGTTGTTATGTGCCATCAAATCACCTCTGACTCATGGCGACCCTATGATCATCAAAAGGTTCTGGCTTCAACAGCCCCAATCAGCTCTTGTAAACCCAAGTCTGTGGCTTCCTTTAGGATAATGTACTGTACTTGGTTCCCCCTTTTCCTGATGCCCTCCACTTTTTTTTTGTATTTTTTTGTATTTTCCAGAGAATCCTTGTCTACTCATCATGTGCCCAAAGTACAACAGCCTCAGCTTCAACATTTTTGCCTCCAGAGATAGCCCAGGCTTGATTTGATCTAGGACCCACTTATTTATCTTTCTGGCAGTTTAGAGTACTGTACCCACAAAGTTGTCCTCCAGAACCACATTTCAAATGAATCATTTTTTCCCTGTCAGCTTTCTTTACTGTTCATGTTTCAAACCCATATAGGGTGATTGGAAATAACAGAGTATGGATCTTGGTTTTGGTCTCCAGAGACAGATCCTTACATTTTATGATATTTTCTAATTCCTTCATTGTGGCTTTTCTGAGTTTCAGCCTTCTTCTGATCTTCTTGGCTGCAATCTCCCTTTAGATTCATGACTGAACCAAGATGTACAAAATGTCTATTTCAGTTTCTTCATTATTGATGCTAAAGTTGTATAGTTCTTCTGTAGTCATAATTTTTGTTTTCTTAATGTTCAGTTGCAGCCCTGCTTTAGCACCCCCTCTTTTCACTTTCCCTAAAAGTAGTTTCAGGTCATTGCTGCTTTCTGTCCATAAAATTGTGTCATCTGTATATCTTATTAATGTTTCTTCCACCAATTTTTGCTCGTTCATCTGAATCTAGTCTGGCATACCGTATCATACGTTCTGCATACAAATTGAACAGACAGATTCAGTCTCTGTGACTTGAAACAATTCTGCTGCTATCCCACCTACCCCAGTGATTTATTTATTCCTAGTGCATTCAGAGCAGCTTTCACTTTGCTTTCTAGGACTGCAGGTTCTTCATCATAGGATTCCTCTTCAAATGAGTCTGCCATCCTTTTGGCACTTCTGTATAGGTCTTCAATATGCTGTTTTTTCCTTCTCTTTATTTTTTCCGGGTCAGATAGTGTGCTTCCCTATTGGTCATTCAGCATTTCTAATCTAGGCATAAATTTCCATTTGATATTTTAGATCTTCTGGAAGAGGTATCTTGTTTTCCCCATTTTGCTGTTCTCTATTTCTTCACACTAGTTGCTGTAATATTTCTCTTTGTCTCTATGTGACAGTCACAGAAAAACTGCATTCAGGATTCTGGCCCTATTTCTGTCACTTTTTACTTTCTTCTCACCTTTCCTTTACAATTTTAAGTGGTTATTCCATCATCTAGCTTGAGTTTTCTTTTCTTTTTTACTAGAGGAATTGTCTTTTTGCTTTCTTCTCTGATAGAAACTCTGGTTTCACTCCATAGTTTTTCTGGTTCATGGTCAATTGAGTTTAGTAATGCAAACCTGTTCTTTATGGGGACTTTAAATTAATCAGGAATGTTGTTTAGATTATATTTTGGTACTATGATTCTTTTGGTCCTTTTGTGCTTTTCTCCAATGTTAGATATTAACAGTTCATGATCAGTACCACAGTCCGCTCCTGGTTTTGTTTTGGCTGAAAGAATACAGTTTCTCCATTTCCTGCTTCCAACTGCATAGTATATTTGATTTCTGTATTAGCTATCTGATGATGTCGACATGTATAGCCGTCCGTTTGGTTGCTTGAAGCATATATTTTCTATAAATAAATGGTTTGCTTTGGAGAACTCTATGAGTCATTCTCTTGCTTCATTTCTGTCCCCTAGGTCAAATTTTCCAACAACATTTGGTTTTGCTTGTTTCCTGTCTTTGCATTCCAGTTGCCTATGATCATAAACATTTGTGTGTGATTAATTTCCTCTTGGACTCTTGCATAAAAACTTTCAATTTCATCTTCAGTGTTATGAGTTGGAACATAGACTTGAATGATGGTTATGTTGATAGGTCTTCTACAGAATCTGATTGATATTATTTGGTCAGATCTTGCATTATAGCTCCTATCTGCCTGTGCTACATCTTGCCTCTGTTTTAGAGCTACTCCATTTCTTATGTTTTTAATTTCCCGAGTAGAACACTTAGTAGTTGTTTGACTGAAAATATCCCGTTCCACTCCACTTGAGTTTGCTGACACCAAGCACTGTAATGTTTATGCATTCCATTTCTGCTTTGTTGTTTCCAATAGAGTAGTATAATTCATCTAGACAAAAACTTGTTTTCTTATCTGTCATACTAGGTGTTTTGTGATCTGACTTTTATAGGATTTGTGAAAATGACAACAGTACATTAAAGTACAACCAAGTCAGTAGAAAAACACACAGCCATACTAGCAGATCTTCAGTAAAACAGCATTACATTCAATAAAGCACATTAATTTAAACCCTTTTCAAAATGTGCAGAGTTTCAAAAGCCTCTTTAGATGACTTAAAGGTGAGTCCTATGAGACAGAGTCTACTACTGAGAAGGTCCTGTCCATAGTGTCCTTGAATCTAACCAAATTAAGAGTGGGCTGAAGAGTTGTGCCTCCAGCCCTTATGAGCAGATTGATGTGTGCCCAGCCAGTCCTTCAGAGAAGCTGGCTCCAAACTGTTAATATCTTTAAACTATATGTTTATCAGTGCTAAGGCCAGCAGGTCATCAAAACCAATGTCCGCCTAGAGTGGACGAGTCGCTCAGATAGGCGGGGTATAAATCAAATAAATAAATCGAATCAAACAAACAAACAAACAAACAAACAAACAAACAAACAAACAACAACAACAACAACAACAGATTAAAATTTTGGATGAAATCCTACTGCACAGCTATACAAAAGACATAACTTTTGGAGGAAAACTGCCTCAGATTAAGAAATGTCCTTAGACACTATATGTTGCATAATATTTACTGAGAGTTCCTAAATTAAGTCAATTCACTTCTAAACGTTACATCTTTTTTGTAACATGGCAACAGGATTTTAGCTATTTAAAATAAATTAAAAACATTATTTAGATGGATACATTTTTTATGGCTCAGCATATATTTAGCAATAAGAACAATCTTGTCTGAATTCAGTTATGTTGTATTTAAGATTCAGCATACATCCTTCTTCCTTTTGGCTAAAGGCCAGTTTACACACATCTTGCTTATACCTACTCACTGTGGATTTGGACAATGTGATAATTAGTCAGGCAACTTTAGGGAGTGTAGCTTGCAAAGTGTGAGCATTATGCTGCTTTGCTTTGTTCTACGGTTGTCCAAATACATGTATTGACTGTTACCAGAACCAGTCAATAAAATGCCCATGACTGAATTAATAGATTTGGCTGAGGGCAATTTCTCAACGGCCCTTCAGACAAACCAAAGAAAATATTACTCTTTTAAAAAATGATGATGTGCCTCATTGATAATCTACCACAGTCTTTTTAAAAATCTTTCACTTCCTCTGCCAAGGTGCAGATGAAGTGTTCAAATGCCAACATTGTGAATTAACTTCTGTGTTAAGCCAGTTCACAATATTGGAAGGCATTGGATGCAACAGGATCACTTGACTTGCCAGTATGTCACTTGGATGTGAGAATCACACCAAATGGCATATTGCACATCCACTGACTTGAAGCAACCCTATTTAGCCCACACCAGCCGACTCCAAAAAACCCAGTGTAGATCTGCCCTTACAAATGGAAGGATATTTTTATTGAGTCAATCCATTTCATATATAGTGTTCTTCTTTTTCTGATGTCTTCTGTCTTCTCAAAACATGCCCAATGTATGGCAGCTTTCCCCTTTAGACTAGCACACACAATTAATATTCAGTGTATGTGACAAATATATCCAAGTCCTTCTGCTATTTGTTGTGCTTCCCTGTATTTATTTGACAAGTCTTTTACTTTCTGTGTTCAAATGTAAACCACCTCTCAGAACTAACTAGGAGATATGGAACAATTTACATACTAATCAGGGTATCCCATCAGATGTTATTTAGGCAATTTTAATAATACAAAGGAATGAATAATATATGCAGGACTATTCTATGCAAGCCTAGAAATAATATAGTAAAATAACAGACACATTTACTGGGAATGCCTATACTAGTTCTACTTGAAAGGAAGGCCAGATAAAAGGATAAAAGAAATAAACAGCATTCTTTAGGAGAATCTTGTCTACATTTTGTCTGTTATTGTAACTTCCCATTATTTTTTAGCAGTGTATATACATGCACACATATGCACACAGCATAACAGGAACTCCACACAATATTCATAATAAAATTCTATCAGAAATGGGGGGAAAGGCATTATTATGCTTTTAGCAATTTCCCTCTGCTCAACATTCTATTTTGTTGTGTGGAACAGATAAGAGTTCTTGAATGACTGATCAAGCAAGGGCTAACAAACCAGACATTGTTTTATCAGTACAGCAGCTGGTAACAAAAGAATATGAAGAAAATGTAAGTAAATTGACAGTAAGGGCCAGAATGCAAAGATTGGTGGTAAAGGACTATTTTTATACATATGCATGCATACCGACACTTGTATCCACCTCTTTGTCCACAAAGCAAGAGGGTGCCTGTTTCTATGCACAAGCAGAAAAAAAACAACCAGCAGCAATCTGGCCATGAAAAAAGGAAACACGACTCTT